GATAAGAGAAAATTTTCATTTTAATTGCATTAATATATTATTATTAATCCATTAACTTACTGAATTTATGATGATAACAATGTTAAAATTTGTTATCAAATTTTTGTTAATTTATTTATCTTTATTTTTATAATATTCCCAATATGATGTAAATACTAAGTAACATAATTTTGATAAAATTTGAAATTTAAAATTTTTATATTGTAAGCAAAATAAAATAATTATAGTAAATTATATATATATATATATATATCTTATAATTATAATAAAAACAAAAAAAATTTATAAGAAATAATAACAAAAATTTGATCTTAAACCAATTAAAATTTAATTCAAACTTACAAAATATTCATTTCCATTTTCATCAATTTTACGAATCTCCGCAGTCATCGCAACAATGGCTACACTTAAATTTACTCGAAGAATATAAGATGTAAAACATCCGAGAAATGTTAATATTGCGACTACATATCTTCTTTTTTTCCAAAATTTCCAGGAAGATACAAGTTCATCTTCGTATTTAACGCTAAAGGATTATCAATATATAAATGTTAATATATATATATCGCATTAAATAAATATAATTTCTATAATTTTTAAATAATAAAAAATTTTCTTAAATAAAAAAATATTTTTTAAATTAATTATTATTATTTAAATATGAAACATTATGTATTAATGTATTAAATTTATACATTTGAATTCTTTGAATAAACAAAGATAAACAAAAACAATTCATCAATTTTATTGCAATGGGATAATTAGTTGCAATACTCACGTTCCATAGTCAGTATCTTTGCCAGACTCAATCGATTTTTTTCTCTCCATCGTTTCCTGAAAGATTACTGATTTTAAATGAAATTCAGAGAAATCTAATAAATTATGACAAAGTTATAAAAGAATTATGATACATATCTCTATTTACATGCTTACAAACCAGATAAAATCTTAAAAAATATGTAATAATGTGTTTCCAATTAAATATTATCAAGGTTAAGATAAGATTTTTTTAATTATATTGTTCGTATTAGAAAAATTTATTATGAATGTAATAATTCATTTTTAAATTTTTCAATTTATTAATACAAACATTATATAATAATAAATAATAGACTTAAAGTAATGCATAGAATTAAAGTAATACATATAATTATATGTATAATTATATAAATTTTAGCTATTAAAAATATCGAAAAAAAGATTACTATTATCAATGACCTATATATTTGTATTACGTATGTACTTACAAATAGCATACTTCGAAAGTAGAAAGTTCCGCACTAAGCAGACAATATACAAAGAAAACGATGCAAATCAATTTATGTTATTTCATTAGAAATATAATAATAAAAAAAAAAGACAAATGTTTAAATTTTAAATGAAATAATAAGAATCATAATATATTATCATAATAATATTTTTGTTTGTTCAAAACTAAAAACGAATTATTATTAGAAAATAACAATCATTTTATCACTTATAATTTCAAATTCATTTTTCCTTTTCATTCGCAAGAGACAATAAAATAGAAACCATATTGCAGTGTCGTGCATATTAATTGAAAATATCGTAATAAATTCAAATTATTTTAACAATTATAATTCAAACAATTATTGTATTTTTATATTTTATGATACCTCATTTGAATAGAAAATTAATTTTTCAAGTATACTGATATATATAAACATTCTATTGATATATTCACAAAGCTTTTATACAGTAAATATTAGCGACAACCTGTTACGCAAAGCAACAGTTGTGATAACATATGTATATTTCCGTCAATATAATCAAATTTAACAGTTAAGTAATTTTTAACATTTTATCATATTTGAGGTAAATATATTCTCTAAAACATATTATATTACAAACGTGTATATTTTATTACATACCTGCATGTAAATTACTACATTTGAAAAATTCAAGAATATATCCATTTTTTTTTTTGTTTAAAATAATACTAGATATCAAATTATAAAAACATGTATTCATAATTCAAATTAAAGTTTTATTATTAAATGAAAAAATGAAAATTATTTTGCAAATTGGTACAAGTAAAATTTACAACTATTTTAAATACATTTTCTAATTTTATGTGATTAAAAAATAATTGATAATTACATCTTTTTTTATTAATACATATTTAAAATCGATAATAATATACATTAATATTATTATAATTTTATTTAATTTTATTTTGATTTATATTTATGCACAAGTTATTCATAAATGATAAATTGAAAATTCAAAAATGTCAATGAAATATAATTGTGATCTAATCATGATATGAACGATAGGATTATACTTGTATCTGTAGATTATTGATCGTACTTCATTCCTACATTCACTTTCATTTCCTACATTCTATTTCAAAACTTTATAAAAAAATTATTGAATATACGTTTATATAAAATTTATCGATAACAAGAAATAATTGAATATTCATGGATTTAATCTTCACTTAGATTGTATATATATATTTATATTATAAGTGATTGAAATCTTATATGTAATCTTATAAATATAAACAAATGTCAATAAAAAAATTTTATTGTATGACATGTAAGACTTTATCTTTATTTTTTAAAAAAAGTATTTTACTCGATCAAAATATTGATTCGATGAATAATTTTATTACGTTAGATAAAATTAATTTAGTGTATTACCGAAGTTCAATTAGATTACTGGAATTGATTATGGATTATAAATTTAAAATTCCTCTTATACAATTAGAATATTTCACAAATTATAAAGAAATTGATTAAATTTAAGTGATATTACTAAATGATAAATAATAAAGAAAAATAGAAATAAATAAATCTTATTAAAATATTTGAAATTTTAAAATTTTATAAGAAAATTTGATAGAAGAATTAAATTATAACATTATTGTATTATAAACTAATGTTCTTTAAATCATAATTGTTATAATTAATATTTTATTATAAATACATTTCCATATTGTATATTATATGTTTTCCAAATAATTTAGAGAATCTCAATATCACGAAGAACAAAAGAAATTTCATGAATTATAAACTAAAGTGAGTCATATTGCATATCTACATGTCAAGTCGTAATATCGTAGTTAATGAATTATGCATTGTAGTATGGTAACTCATAAAAATGATTTTTATTAGACAATTTAAATATAAATATAGATATTCATAGCATTAAAATTTAAGTATTTTAATATAGTAATATACTTTTTGTTATTCAAATATAAAATATATAATAATTTTTTTTATTATATAAAATATACATTGGAATTTTCTAAAATAATTCATTAAATCATTCGATATCTTTATACAAAGATTTATAAATATATATATATAAAATATCATTACAATATCTGTAGAAAGTCTCAAGGAAATCCAGTTCATGAAAGAGAACAGCACAACAGGACATTTAATTAATAAAAAAATCGAAATGGCATTTGATTAAAGATAATCTAAAACCGGATAAAAATTGAATGTTTTTCAAATTTAATAGTTTTATTTTTTTTTAATAGTTTTATTTAAAAATTTACTTATCGTAATTTCACTAATATTAATCTTAATCTAATATAACTTTATAAATATTATATTATATATTATATATTATAATATATAATATATTATATATTATAATATAAATAAACTTTTCTTATACCTTTGTTAATAACAATTTAAATTTAATTAAAAATATATTTATAATAATTTTTTTTCTTATATATAATTATATATAATATTTTATACTTTAAATATTATAAAATGTTATATTGAATTTTAAATAATTTTATTTATTTCAATTATAAAAAATTAATATCGAATCAATAATCATTTAATTTTAAAAAAATAATACTTTCTTCTCATTATATACAAATTAAATTTATTTTCATATTTGAATTATAATTATTTACTTACTGTTTTTAATCTTTCTAAATAAATCCATAAACGTCACAAAAATTTCACTTATCACTTATTTACAAATTTACAATGTAAAAAAAATAAAAATCATATTATCATATAATTATAATATTAGTAAAAAATTACAAAATATGTTTGTAACATTACTTAAGAACTAATAAGAAATTCCGCAATGGTATACGTTAAATGGCCATAAGCAACTGTTTGAAATAAACGGAAATGTTAAGTGGGTAAGTAGTGAACTGTACAGGTAAAGTTGAATATATAGAAGGCTGGAAATTGTTCTTTGCGAGGCACCAATCACAATATCGTATTGCACTTGTAACAGTTCGAATATTATGCAATATTTTCGACATTATGCAATAATTCATAAATATTTCTTTATTTCCGGTAATTCCGTTAGTAGCATTTGACACTTTTTGAATTGTTTTACATAAAATATTCTATATAAATATTTCATTTTTTTTTAAATAATTGATAATTTCAGAAAAAATATTTCTACATATTTATAAAATTTAAATTATTAAAAATGTATGGTTTTTTACATTTTTCTACATTTTTTATTTTTATAATATATTAAAAATTAATTATAATTATATTATTTCTATTATTATAATAATTGTTATTATTTTTCTATTTTCTATTTTATATATTATTATTTGATTTAAAAAACTATTTAATTCACAATAGAATTATAAAAGAAAAAAAAAATAAATTTTTATTTCGATATATATTATTTAAATTGTGCAAATTATTTAAATTGTTTTTAATATTAACAAATATTGAAAACAAAAATAGAACATTTTAGGAAATTAAGGAAAACAATTTAGGAAATTATGAAGATCACGTATTCTTTTTTATGATATATATTAAATATATAATTGATTCTAAAAAATTGACAAACAAATTTAATCTTAATAATTATTTAATGAAAACAATAAACGAATAAATATATATGCATAAAGAAGTTTATAATACGTGCTCATTTATGTATATATGTAATATGTGAAAATGTATGCCATCTAGTGAAAAGAAGAAGTATTTAAAATATATATTTTGCAAAGTGAAATAAAAAGTTAGATGTATGGGATTAATATGTGCTTATTTGAATACAAAAAAAATATTTTTCACTTCATTATTTTTAAAACGAAATATTTTGAATTAAAATAACACATGTTTTATGTTACATTAATACCCGATATCATAATTTACAAGAATTAAAACTATTTTCGATTATATTCGAAATCTTTATTAATCAACTGGATTGTTGATATGGCATTATTGACATTTTTTTAAAGTTAAATATCATCATCATATTAGTTATTTACCAAAACAATGAAATCTACGCTCAATGAGCAATGACCAATGCTCATTTTGCCAAGCTGAAGGTGGTTGTATTATGTAGAATATCATTCTTTGATAAATACTTAACCTATTTCAATTGCTCTTTTTTTTTGTAGAAAAAAACTGTACTCTCCTTTATGTATTATTGTAGAGTAACAAAGCATTTCATCTTTATAATAGATTGAAGGATTTTAAATCACGTAGATAGTATATATATATTGTGAAAATGGACAGTCTTTTCACACAAAATATTTCAGACGAACCAGAGGATATACCACAAACAGATGAACCAGTTTGGGTTCTAGGAAAAAAATATAATGCCATAAGAGGTCTAATAAACAGTTACATTAAAGAGATCTTTAATAAATTAGATATGTAAGATCTTAAATTTCAGAACTCGACGCAATTCGTAGGGATATAAGATCCAAATTATGGTTTACTTATCGAAAAAATTTTGTACCTATTGGTGGTTACAATTCTACATTTACATCTGATAAAGGTTGGGGTTGTATGTTAAGATGTGGTCAAATGGTTCTTGGTCAAGCTTTAATTATATTACATTTAGGTAAATTTCATTTTTATTTAAATTTATTAATTTTATTATATCATTTAATATTTTTATTGTTATTTTAAATACAATTTTTATTCATGAATGTACTATTATATAAATACTATTAAACTAACTATTATATAAATACCTATATATATAAAATAGGTAGAGATTGGCAATGGAGTCTGGAAACTAGAAATAGTACGTATCTGAAAATTCTAGAACGCTTTGAAGACAAAAGAAATGCTCCTTTTTCTATTCATCAAATTGCATTAATGGGAGCATCAGAAGGAAAAGAAGTTGGTCAATGGTTTGGTCCTAATACAGTAGCACAAGTATTAAAGTATATATTTATTATATTTTAAATATTTATGTATATAAGATTTGATATTTTATCAAATTATAATTTTTAGAAAATTAGTTGTGTTTGATGAATGGAGTTCAATCACTATACATGTTGCTCTTGACAATACATTAATAGTTAATGATATTTGTAAGTGATTAAACTTTTCATTTTAATGTGCTTTTTTTTTTATTTTAAAATGTAATTAAATATTTATAGTAAAACAATGTAGAGTAGAAGGAGGTACAACAGTGGAAGCCGATGGTGATGCTCCATTAAAAGCACCTAGCCAATGGAAACCTTTATTACTTTTAATACCCCTTCGCCTTGGGTTAAGCGAGATTAATCCTATCTACATAAATGGTCTTAAAGTAATAAAGAAATAAATTCTTGCATGAATGGCTAAAATTGGAGTGAAATATGGATGAAGGTTAAGGGTAATCTATTCATACCTATAATTTTTCAGACATCATTCAAAATTCCACAATCTCTAGGAGTAATTGGAGGAAAACCCACCCATGCATTATATTTTATAGGATGTGTCGGTATGAATGCATTTGAAAATAAAAATTATTAAATTAAAGAAAAATATATATTAAATGAATTATTTAATTAGAGAGAATTATTTATGAAAATATTATTTATTGATAATTTATTTTAATAAATTTATTGTAATAAATTGATAATTAAATTTGGTTAATTTCAATGTTATTTGTAGGAAATGAAGTGATTTATTTAGATCCTCATACAACACAAAAATCAGGTAGTGTTGCCAAAAAATTAGAAGAAGAAGAAATTGAAATGGATGCTACCTATCATTGTAAATTTTCTGGTCGTATTCCTATTATAGAGATAGATCCTTCTGTAGCACTTGTTAGTAAATAATTAATTCTATTTAGAAACTATCAGAAAATTAAATAATTAATAACATAATATATTTTTAAAAAATAAGAAAATAATATATATTTTAGTGTTTTTTTTGTGCAACTGAAAAAGACTTTAAATCTTTATGCAAATTTATTCAAGAAGAATTAATAACACCAGAAAAGCAACCTTTACTTGAATTATGTGCAGAGAGATTAGCACAATGGTCAGTTGAAGATGTTGCTTCAGAAGCAATAGCAGCTTCAAGTTGTAAGTATTTTTAAATTTGTACAATATTAATAAAAAAAAGTAAAATTTTATATATTTATAAGAGTATAAATAATTTGAAGTTTTATAATTCATATATATTATACTTTATATATATATAAATATTTATAGAAATAATTATATATATTTTTTTATATATATAAGTATAAATAAATTTTAGATAAATGTTATAATTAAATTTATTATAGTTGATTTTAAAAATTTTTTTTATAGTTGTAGATTTTGAACATATAGATCCACAATGTGATACATCTGATGAAGATTTTGAATTACTTGGTTGATATTTCATTATTAACAAAATCTACGATATAAATAATGTATATATAACATCAAAGAATGAAATGGTCCATTCGTACATAAAATACAACCATTCATTCAATACTTAACTAGTACTATTTCAGTACTGAAAGTTGAATAATAAAATAATTTATACCAAATAATTAAAATATTGTATATATTACTTATATTTATAAATTTTTTGGACATGAGTAATTTATTTATATTGTTAATAATAACATTGTTAATATGAAATAATTTTGATATAAGCAAAATTTTCTATAAAACAAGATATTTTCAAAATACAAATTATATTTAATTTCACAAACAACATAGAATATATTTACTTTTTATATCAGTTATAATAGAATAATTTTAATACATATTAGATATTGTAAATGATTAAATTATTATTAATAATTATGTATTTAAAAATTTAAAGATGAAAAAATGTTATATTTAAAATAAATTTATTTTAGCAGAATCTAATGTATAAAAATATTTAAACATAAAATATGCTATAATATTCATATTCATGTACATTATTCATTTTTATCTTCATATTTATACATCTTTCTTTCAACTATAATTAATCAATTAAATCATATATTAATTTTAAAAATATCTTAAAAGTATCAAAATTTTCTAAAGCAATAATTACATAATGAATTGGATTTCATACAAAAATTAAAAATACTCATGTCCTTAAAATATTTTTGCCTTCTTTAACAAATAATGCATGTGATTTTAATGGTGATATAAATACTTCGTAAAATATTAAAATCAAATTGAATTCTTAAAAATTAAATAAAACTTTTTACATTATTTATTTCAAATATATGCTAGTAATTTATAATGCTAAAGTTTAAATATAGAATATATATATATGTATACAAAAATAAATTGATTTTCATATTGATTAATATTATATATTATTTGCATTAATAGATTTTTAATTTTATAAAAATAATTACTTAATACATAATTACTAAATTTTATAGAAATAATTAATAATATAAATTTTTATTTCAAATTTAAATAAGATGCTTAGAATTATTGGCTAAAATTTGATTAAAAATATTTATTAATATTTTATAGTTAAAAGTATCATTAAAAATTTTATAAATCAACAAAAATATTACTATTTCTATATATTTATGCTTAAAACTATTTTAATATTATGTTATTATGTCTAATAATTAAATTTGCATTCAAATTATAATGAGATTTATTGCAATCTAATAAAAATATATCTACATTTTTATAAAAATTTATAAAAAAAGAATTACTATTATTATCATAAACTATTATTATTAATAGTTTATGATTTTCTAAATATTTGTTGCATTATTATTTTGTTAAAAAGTAAAAATTAATAATCATGTGATATATAAATAATATATAGTTTCATATACAAACATGGAATTTTTAATAATTTTTAATAAAAGAATATTTTGTAGTATAATCTACATATAAGATAAATTTTGGCTGTTCTTTATAAATAACAAAATTTATTTATTTAAATAGCATAAAATTTCCTGTATTTCAAATTTTATGTAATAAAATAAAATATACAGTTTAAAATTGTTGCTATATTTTTAGCAATAATAAACAAGATTTTGATAATATAAAACATGTGTGCATTATAATTAATAAATGATTTACAAATTTTGTAATACTTTTTAGTAATAAATTTATAGTAAATAAATTTAGTAATAATAATGGATTCCGATTATTTGAGACATTGAATCTTTTGACCTTTTAATTAATCTATTTATAAGAAATATATATTAATTATTTATATAGAGTAAGTAATCTTTTATTTTGTCCAATATAGTAATTTTTTCAATTAATGATAGATTATTATATAGCATTTTATTGTGTAACATATTATTATATTTTAACTTGAAAAATTAAAAAAAAAAAACAATTTTTAAAAATTAAAATATTCAACATATTCTATTTGATTCTGAAATGTATGCACAATTAACATTAGTTAAAGAAATTTTTAAAAAAATAAAATTATAATGAACAAAAACAAAAAAAAAATGCAAAGTATAAATAGTGAGACTTAGAAAAGATGACAAGACAAAGGAATGATTGGTTATTTCTAATTAGATCCATATAATCATATACATAAGTATATATTTTGATTAAATTATAAATAAAATCATAATATGATAATTATGAATGGAATGAGGGAGGATATTCCTTATATTGTTCTGCTTATTATCTTTATAATATTGCAATTATCTGTTATAATACACTGTCCTAATTAAGAGGAAAATTATAAATGATTATCTTTAATGATTGGTTTTTGTTCTTAAAGCTTTCAAATAAATGACTACCCGATTAATCAATGGCTCAAATAAGAGGAATCTTCTATATAAAAAAATATTTATATAGTAATTTATAATAAATTACATTATGCTGTAATTATCAAATTTTCAATAAATATTCTATGTTTTCACATTAACAATATTATTTAACAATCATAATTAAATTTAAATGAAATATTATAATACAATATATAATATAAATTAATATAGTTATAAAGAATGAAATTAAATTTTTATATTACACAAACAAAAGTATATTTCTATTTTTTTCCAGATTTACACTTAGTCGTTAATGTATAATTAATGACTAGAATATCTTTGGAAAAAAACAAATTCATTATATATTACATTATTGATTATTTTTGGCCTCTGATATGCTATATTTACGATCTTTTAAATTAATTACAACTACAGTAATATTGTCGGCAGAACCCCTATATATAAAAAAAAACAAATATACAATATATAAAACAATTAAATTGATATTAAATAAAATTGTAAAGTTAAGTTATACATTACCTGTAATAACTTTGTAATGTAATACTTTTTGCACCAAAATGTGGTTCATTTATGCGTTCCTTAATAAACGCAACAGCCTCTTCATTTGTAAATGTATCCCATAAGCCATCTGATGCCAAAACAATAAACATTGGATTATGATCACTAAGATCAAAAGTTAAAATATCAGGATCAGCAATAACTAATTTTTTATCTTTTAATGGATAATCTCCTAAAGCTCGAGAAGTTGCTAATATACCAGCAACTCTCCATACACCATTGAATGTCACTAAACCACCAGCTTTATTTATTCTTTTTCTTTCTCTTTCCTAAAAATTATTTTTAGAAATAAAATATATTTTAGTAATAAATATGATTTATATAAATAAAACTATGTACTTGTTGTGGTTTATGATCAAAGGATAAAGGTATAGCATTTCCTTTTCCATCACACATCACACCTCTTGAATCTCCAACATTTGCTACAATTAATTTATTGTCTTCTAAAAGAGCAATCAAGGCAGTTGTGCCTTATAAAAATTTAAAAAAATTATTTTTAAATTTAAAGAAATTTAATAAAATTATAAAAATTATAAAAATATATATATGATTACCAGCTATATCCATGTTTTTTTTAGCAGCTTCAACTAATAATCTATCCACTGCTAATACTTCATCAGTTAATAATCTACCATAGTTTATTTTATTTCCATCAAGATAATTTGCAATATCTATTTTTTGAGGTTTTTCTATTGTTCTGCATGGTCTTATCTTACAATTAAAACAAAAAAATAAATATTTTTTTGTAATTTATGTTTAAAAGATAATAATTAATCATACTTCTCTTGTTATTGGTCTTTGTAAACTATCCAATTTATCAAGTAGTTCTGGATCAGTTACATCAACATTTTTTTTGCAATCATCTGTCAATGATGTGCTTACAGTTTTACGAAACGATTTTTTACGTTCAAGATATCCTATATCACTTTTTTCTTCTTTTTTTTCCATTTCTTCATTTTTCTGTGTATTTTCTGATACGTATGATGTTTTACCAGCTATCATATTTTTCAATTCAATCACTTTTTTATTAATATTTGGAATAAGTTTATCACGAGCATAATTTGCTGCAAACTGGTGAAAGAAAAAAAAAATATATCAATATTTTGTATTTATAAATAACAAAAAGATTTAGAATATTAGCATATCAGTATACTATATGTCTTAATAATATCTTTTGCTATATTTAAAAATAGTGACAAATAATAAACTATAGTTACATTAACTATATAATTTAACTATTAATATACATTATATTTTTTACTAAAAATATTAATGTATGAAGAACATAATCTTTTTGTTAATTTATTTTTGCATGCACACTATTATAATAATATTTAAATTTTTCTATTTAAATAATTATATAAACAATAACAAAAATATAATAATATTTGAAATTAATCTATAAATGATATAAATTCTAAGTAATTGATATATATATGTTTACTTAATAATATAAGTATATTGTTGAAATCTATATTTTAATATTTTATATCTTTTAATTTAATTTTCACTATTATTATATTTGACTTTATATTATAACTTTACCATTGTAAGATATTTTTACCTTATTTTTGTGCCTTTAATCTGCAATTTTGAAAAACTATCATCATATCATATCAATAATGTTATAAAAAAATTAGAAGAATTTAAAATATTATATAAAATTTCAATAAAAATATTATTTTTATAAATAAACTTTTAAAAATATCCTATTAATATATAATTGATTAAATTTTTATAATATCTAAATAAATTTGTTTCTTGAATATTTTTTAACTTACTTCTCCACCATGTCCATCAAATATTGCAAATAAAGATACACCTGTATTGTTCATATCTTCATTTACAACAAAACGATCTTCCATACGAGCTCTATGACCTTGAACTGCATATGCAGCAATATGTCCTTGTTTTAATTCCCAACTAAGTTTCACCCCATTATTTACAGAATCATTAACTAAAAATTGTAGTTTTGATACCTAAAAGAGATAAAATATTAAATAATAAATAATTAATTTTTTAAATAAATTAAATAAAATTCAATTATATAACAAATATTATTTATTTAATTATAAATTATTATTATATTATTATATAATTTATTTTTTTATACTTATTTTTTACATACTTTTGATGTTGTACGACCAAGAGTATATTGAATTCTACCCAACAATGATCGGCTCCATACATCAACAGCTTGTATATAAAATAAAATTATTGCCAAAACTGCACCACAAATTAATACTTCTGGCTTAAATGCATATACTCTCATGATCTTCCAAAAATAACCCAAAGGAGTATTTATTCCAGCATTTAATCCTGTGGGAATACCCACTGCAAACTTTGATACTAGCTTCATATATGATACATATGTCTGTTACACAATCCCATAAATGTAAAATTAACGATGTGTTTGATATTTATAAAGAAAATTTTATAAATAAATTTTAAATGTTCAAACATATTCAAATAAATAAATATTATTATCTATTATTGATTAATAAAAAGATGACAGATGAATTATTTTATATGTTATAAAAATTTGAGAGCAATCAATCGGAACTATTTTTGAATACAAATCACGCGAAATTGTAGATCGAATATATGATAACTATTCTTACAAAAATATTTTTCTAAAAAAAAAACAAGCATTATATTTGATTATTTTTATATTACCTGATATAAAATCTTGTCTTCTAGTTCGTCATCCATAATCTAATACAAAAAATATCTTGAATTAAGCCAGTTTTCTTATAAGTTTGTATGTCAATTATATTAATTATTTGTGAACAAATAAATATTATAGAGCACCAAATATGCATGAAAATTATAAAAAATTAAAAAATCATCGAAAATTCATACAATTATTCGTTTGAAAAAAACCTTTAAAATCTTCAAGAAAAAATCTGTATACTATTTAGTATCTACAGCAGACGATGCCAAATTACAAACGTTGCTGTAGATAGATATTTGACCTCACGCCGCAATTTTAAGTATTATTAAGCGGTATTACAGTATTCTATATTATTTATAATTAATTAGAATTATTTTATTTATTTAAATAAAAAAAATTTAAATATTTTCAATTATGTATAATATTTTTTTAACTAAATTTAAAACATTTGTTTCTTTCAGATATAACATAAATATAGATTAAATTAATAAAAAAGAAATAAAATAATTATAATTTTTTAAAATATGTTTCTATAGAAAGATATAATGTATTATGCTTTTAATAATGTATTTTATAATCATAATGCGATATAGATATTTTTAAGTGCAATTTTTATATTTATTTATTTTTATATTATTACAATTTTTGAAAATATTTTTGCAACAGAACATATATAAAAAGAAAGAAAGCGTTTAATATTATTAAAATGAATATAAATATGATTTTGATTATTCTACTATAATCAAAACTTTATTTGGTTATAAAATTAAAAATTGTAATCTATTATGATTTTTTATAGTTATTAAAAGACTAAGAATTTCAATATTATAGGATTATAATAATAATAAAAAAAAATTATTATAATTATTAGCCAAAAATTTACAATATTTTATGATACTTTACATTTATAATATTAATTAAATTAAAGCTTAAAAACAAAAAAATTAGAATATTTATCTTTATTTGAAGAATAAGTAATTATTGCATAATATATATTTACAATATATAAATATATATATATATCTTATGTATACGTATGTATATATAGTATATATAATTTCTAAGGATAATGTTATATACTTGCAACGTGATTAAATATTTTGTATATAATATATATACCGGATATACACATATATATATTTGCAGCGATGTATTACGCTATAAACTGCATAGAGAGAACTGTCATGCGTTGCTACGACGTGAGTTTAGAAGCCGCGTAAATATGGCCGCGGTTATAGTGAGTGGTTAATATTGTCCAATGTAATGAGTATGCGTGATGCTCATGATTGCTTTAGTTGGCGAACGGTGATGAGATCAATGTGTCATCAACTAAGATGAGCGAAAGGAAGTTTACCCGCGGCCTGGGTAAACCGGGTATGGCCGCTCAATTACGAGAGACTGTCTCTCAGGTAGTACGTGAAAGTACGGTACAAGTAGGTTTCTCTATCTTCTATATTTACCGCTTAATTTTATATAGATTTTTTTATTATCTTTCGAAAAAAAACATGTAATAATTAATACTAATGAAAATACATTTTTCTTTCAATTATTTATTAGAATCTTTATAATATCGTTAATTCATTATTTATAATAATTACTGTCAACTAACCCGGGAATAACTATAAATATTTCAAGCTAAAAAAGAGATAAGCATGATATTGAATATCAATTTTTTATTTGTATTTTTTAAATGTCATCCATTATTTTAATTTCTTATGTAGTAAGATTGAGATTCTTTTAAAGATAATGTTATTCATATTAAAACATGTCTATTTATGGTAATAGTTTGATTCATTGTTTATTAATTATTTTTTTTAGTTAAAAAACAATTTCTTATTTTTAAACAAAATTACATTTTTATTTACAAATTATTTACAAATTAATATCTAATTCTTAAATATTATGTTAAAAATTTTAATATACATATATATAAATTATGTATTTATGTTTTATTTATAATATTAATTATATATTTATGTTTTATGTATATAATATAATTATTATATAGCTTTTAATTAAAAATGTGTAATTTTATAGTTTTTAATTATTATTATAATATTCTTTTTACTTTTTTATTATTTATTTTATAAAAATATTTTAATTTCAGAATAAACCACATTTAGTAGAACCTATAGATTTTGAAAGTTTTGTATTAAAGAATAAAACTTTATTACAAAATGATCCTCAGAGAGAGCTTCTACTATATCCTCAAGATGATGTTTCAGTGAGTATTTCTTATCTATTTAAAAAAATTTACATCCGTTGCATGAATAGATAAATCATCATATAGATTCATATACAGGATGTTAATAATATTATGCTATTTTTAAATCTATTTTTTTAAATATATAATACAGAATTTTTTTTTAATTTTTTTATTTATAAAATGTTATATTTAATTTTTAATGTCTTACAACACAGATATATTTAAAATATATATAATAAATAATATATACTTAATATCTAATTATTATATATATATAATTATATATATAAAATTATTATATAAATAATTTATAAAAATAATAATATATATAATTTTAGTAAAAAAAAAGGAAAAATATGGAAAATTATAAAAAATATTATAAAAAAATGTTAATTTGATTTTAATTATCTTTATTGTTTCATTTGTTTCATATCTTTTTTTAATATAGCAAGTGGTATTACCTAGAAGATACCGTACTCTTGTACCAACTATATCACAAACTTCAGATAATGAAGACGGAGGAGAAAATCTTCTTACAAAAGAATGTTTACGAAGTTACACATCTAATTGGAATCTCATACATTATAAATATTCAGCATATAGTGGAACTTATCTTGAATTACCTAAGTATGTCCTTATGTTTCTAGTGATATATATATATAATATTAATAAAATATATATAATTTTGATAAATATTTTTAAATGTTTTAATCAATTATAATAATAATTTAATTAATTAATAATAAATTAATAAATAATATTTCATATTTCATATAATGAAATAATATTTTGTACTTTAATATTAATTATTCCAATATTTTTTTTTTGATAATATATTATATATATGTTTCGTATTAAATATATAATAAAGTATATAATAAAAATATATAATATTAATTTTTTCATATTTTCTTATTTTTTTAGAATAGCAAAAATAGAAGATCTGAAAGATGAAGTATATGAAATAGATACAGAAGTAGATCAGGTTGATGAGGTAAAATATTTTTATTTTTTCTTTCTTTTTTTGTGTAAAAACAATTTGAGATAAAACTAATTTGAAAAAAATTTAATTTTAAATATTTCTTTGTTTTTATAACATTAAATAAAACTAATTTTTATATTATTTAATCCATTTATATTTTGTTTTTTATTGTAAAATGATAAATTTATTTAATAAAAAGTATTAAATAATTTATTTAATTTTATTAGGAATTAACAAAGAATAATGGAATAACAAAAGAAGGTTATTTAATGAAAGGACCAGAAATTGGTAGTAGTGATCGTATGTTTGCAAATATTGGTTCAAAATCATTCAAAAGAAGATTTTGTCATCTTAGGCAAGAAGTTGATGGCACATACATTCTTGAACTTTTTAAAGATGAAAAAAAAGGTGAAGCCAAATTGACAATAGTAATGGATTTTTGTACTGAAGTTGTTAGGAATTCAAAACGTGGAAGATATTGTTTTGAATTAAGAATGAGCGGAACTCATAAATCATATACTTTAGCAGCAGATAATGAAACAGATATGCAGGATTGGTTACTAAAATTGAGCTCAGTATTACAACATTATAAACAACAAGAAGAAAAGCGTGCTGCTTCATTAGAAAGAGCATGTAATACACCTCCTCCTTCTCCACAACCTATGCAGGTATTAGAAATATAAATAAACATTATTTGAATTTTTAATATTTTAAATGAACTATTTTATATATAATTCTATTTGATTTTATTATTTGTAGGTTTATGGAACACTCAAAGGCTTGGAACAAAGTATGAATCCACAATTGATAAAATATTCTAGGGAAACAGATACCAGTATAGCATTAGCGAGACGAGAAAATCGTAAACAATTATTTAGTATTTATCCTCATATACCACATATTAAACAACAGTTGGGAAATTGTAATGAACAAAATATTGATCCATACAAAGAACAATTTGGACAAAGAATTTTTGTAAAATGTGAAAGTCTTAAATTTAGATTACAAGCACCAATAGATGAAAAGGAATCATTATGTCAAGTGGAACCTTATCAAACTACATTAAGCCTTTATGATGCAAGAAATGGTAGAAAATTAACTGAAAATTTTCATTTTGATATTAATCATGAAGTTATTCAAGAAATGATAAAAGAATTGAGTCCTGTAGGTATTATGACAGAATCTACAGAAAATGTTAAACTACCAAATGATTTGAAAAATATACCATTAGATTGGATTAAGTATCCAAAACAGGTTTGTTTTTTTTTTATTATTGAATTTTTAATATAACATTATTAATATTATTCTATATTATCAATAATAATCTACATTTTCCTAGGCCATATTTAGTATTAGTAATCCTCATCCTGATATATTTTTGGTTGTAAGAATAGATAAAATATTACAAGGAAATATATGTCAAACTTCTGAACCATATTTAAGGGCTACAAAAGATCCACGATTAGGTTTAAAGGTACATAAACAAGTTAGAGCATGTTGCCAAAGGTAATCTTATATATTATTATATTTAATTGTATATTTGTATATGTATAACATGTTTTGTTTAATAATTATAATTAAAAACAGATTGGGAAATTATAGAATGCCATTTGCTTGGGCTGCTAGACCATTATTTAGATTATATAGTAATGAATTAGATACATCATCAGATTTTCCTGCAATATACAGGCAAGAAGGGAATAAAATAAAAGATGAAGAACTACTCAAACTTCTTTCAGAGTATAGAAAGTATGTATTATAAACATATAATAAGTTATAATATATTAAGTTATAATATATATTATAAACAATAATAAATTATTCAAATACATTTTGATATTCTTTATTATAGGCCTGAGAAACTTAATAAACTGACTGTGATACCTGGTTGGTTGAAAATAAAAATTGAGTCAATTACAGATTTATCTGATAGTATGTATTTGAAGGATTATTAATATTTTTCTAATAGATATAATATTTTTAATATATAATACATTTTTATTCTTTTTTTATAGATACATTATCTACATCTTTAGCACCTTTAAAACCATTTCCATTACCACCAATATCTG